CATCCGAGTGCATTAAAGGATTTTTATTTCATTTTTCTAAATTGTTGGTTTCCTTCTGAGGTTGATATTCATTACGCAATTATTATTCTTATCATGGGTGAAACTTTTCACTAGGTTTTCACTTCTTTTCTCTCTTCTTTCCCTTTAAGTAAATATTCTTATGATTACGAAGTTTGTAATTAAGACAATAACTTGTGTTACACTTAAATTAACTTCTCAGACCCGTTTTATCTTCACGATGCATATATGACTCATACATATTGATATTTCATTATCCTTTTAACTCAACTGAGACTTTCATCGCATCACTCCAAACTATGACTGCACAAACATTTATTCTAGCGTCATATCTTACTACAATAATAAGTTGGTTTTTCCTAATTATTTTTTGTTACTAATTTGACGATATATACATAGTCGTTTGTTCTTGTTTCATGTTCATAAACACGCCAATTAAACTGTTTGCGTATTTCATGTCTCCTTTATTTCTATTCCCTTATTTTATCCATTTCCTTCTTTAAACTCAATTCAATATTCTTCTCAATTACACAGACCCGATTTATTATTATTAATATTCTACTATTATTACTCTAAAATTTTTTTTAATGTGGCAAGTATAATGCTAACATTATTGAAAACTGTGTATTATTGCATTTTTTGAAGAAACCCGAAATGGTTTCTTCACAACACTTATGTACCCATAAGATGTTTGTGAATAGTAATAATAATAATAATAATAATAATAATAATAATAATAATACCTCCTAGTTGTTTACTCTATGTTTCTAGGCTCACTAGAAAATTACTCCACTAAATGACCATATAGAATAATACCCAAAGTGTCATACGTTGAGGTTACAGATAGTCACATCTCCTGGTACGAATTTATTTTACAAGTATGTTCTATTAAGAGTTGGTCCTGAATTTAATAGTTGGATAGAACTCTGATCATATGGTTTAAACAAGCTCGCGTATAGCTTAATAATAGAAGCGAATAATTATCTAGCCAGCCACATAATACTTATTAATTGTTTATTATCTTTAAATCAATTGGAGTGCAAACAACGCATGTAACTATTCTAGGGTTACTGCCAGTCCCAAGCCCACAAAAAGAAGGGATGTTATGTTTGGAGTCGGTAACCTCATCCTTTAGAAAAAAATCTTGCCATAAAAACCACAACCAGAATAAACAAATTAAACCAGCAAAAGTCGTCCCCTATTCAGTTTACCTTCAGGATTCAAACTTAGCACTTGCCTTGTGATCTTTCCACAACTTCCTCTTCGGCTGAAAGCTGGTTCCTTTTCTCCGAAAATGAGCTGCAGCTCTTCTAGAATTACTGCACGTTCCAACTACGGGGAAACGATAAGCGTTAGACATAGGGTCGACGGCCTCTTACCTTAAAAACCAAATCTGCTGAAAAACGCTAACCAGATTAAACTATTTAAATCGTCGAAACTCGTTCCTTCACGTTGAAGGAAGAATTATGACGCCTCAGGATGGAGGCCCACATTCCTTGGATGTCACCATGTTAATGCTCCTTCCAACAACCACAGCAATAATTTTTATAGGCACTTGGAGCTTTCAGACAGTGCGGTAGACCGGAAGGACTAGTCAAATAGCATGGACCCAGAACCACCAAAGCATTATTTAAAACAATGAAAGATGGAGCTACAATGAATGTTATTCAATGTCTTGCATCCACCCATGATAGCAACGAAGATGATAAACAAACGCTTAATATAAGGATGAAGTCAATCATAGAGAAGTGGTCGGGAAAAAACCTTAAAAACTCGATGAATTTAAGATAACTCTGAACAAGAGGTTCCAAGCCTTACAGAATCTACTGAAAAAAAGAAGAAATTGCCATGAAGGACAACTGGAAAGGAATCAAAGAAGCCACGAATTCAACGTGTCAGGATACAATGTGCTACAATAAGGATCGACATAAGGAGTGGATCTCTATAAAGGGTGACCACTCACCTGCAGAGGCACCACACTATTGTCAGTACCAGGAAAGGTTTTTAGTAGAGTTTTGCTGAACCAAGTGTAAGTTTCAGTAGACGTCCACCTTATAGATCACCCGATGGGACTCTATAACAATTGGTCGTGCACAGACCAAATCGCGAAACTACGGATCGTCATTGAACAACCAATTGGATGAAACTCGTCACAACACATCAACTTCCTTGATTATGAGAAAGCGTTTGACAGTGTGAATAGGATGACCTTATAGAATCTTCTTCGACATTATGATATCCTCGAGAAGATTGTTGACATCGTCCGGAATTCATAATTTGGACTACACTTCGAAGTGGTGCATGGAGGACAGCCGGTAGGTGCATCTCAAACGAGGACCAGAGTCAGACAAGGTTGCTTACTCTTTTCTTTCTTTTGTGGTGGTTGACTGGATTATGAAAACCTCTACATCTCGAGATAAGCATGGAATAAAATGGACATGTTGGGTGCAACCAGACGATGTGTAATTCGCAGATGACTTAGACTTTGTATCTCATGCGCAGCAAAAACTCCAGGTCAATACAGTCAGTTCAACAGCAGCCTCTACATCAGTAGGCCTCAACATACACAAGGAAAACAGCAAGATAGTCAAATACAGCATGGAGAAGACCGACCCAACGACAATTGATGGAGAAACTTTGGGAGAGGTCAAAACTTGCACGTACCTGGTCAGAATCTTCGATGAGTATAGAGGATCTGATGAAGACGTAAAGAAGAGGGTTGGAAGGACAAGAACAGTATTCCTACAGTTGAAGACCATACGGAACTCAAAACAATTGTCAACCAATATCAAAGTGAGAATCTTCAATACGAATGTCAAGACATTGCTACTGTACGGGGCTGGATGTTAGAGAACTACCACAACCATTATCAGAAAGGTGCAAGTATTTACCATCAATTGTTTACGAAAGATACCCAATGTCCATTGGCGGGATACCATCAGCATCAGCCTACTATGAAACAGGGCAAACCAGCTTCCACGTGAGGAGGAAATTAGGAAAAGACGTTGAAAGTGGATAGGACACACATTGAGAAAATTACCGAACAGAATCTCGAAGCAAACGCTAGATTGTAATCCTAAAGGTTGCCAAAGGCTGAAGAATACACAACGTAGGGAATCGGAAGCCGACATGAAAAGGATGATTGGCAACTGGAAAGAACTGGGAAGGATTGCGCAGGACATGGTAGGATGAGGAATACCGGTGGAAGGCCATTGCCCATCCATGAGTTATTACTGTGAAAATAGCGCTATTGCTAATAAGATTAACTGAGCAAATTACTTAAGGCATTTTTAACAAATATTAATATATAAAAAAACCACGGCGACACGGATGGTGAAATAACTAGCGTGTTCGAAAATATATCATCAATCTTAAACAAACTATAAGTCTTATATGTCTATCAAAACAATCACTATCATAGTGAAGGCAAGCATGTTATGAACGAATAACTCAGTGTTGCTTCCTGAATTTTGTTTTTGTTGATCCACTCACATGACCTTGAGGTAAATAGTAAGTTTTCAAATAAGTTATGCGTTGTTGTGTGGTTCATACTAATTTCTCAGTAGAGTGCAATTTCGAACGTTCAATATAATAAAATTCTAGTTTTTATTTGTACTCCTCACGCAAAGTTAACAGGAGTTTTTCCTGAAGGAGCTACTAATGTGAGTGACTTGTTTCACAAATTAACAATATTATTTCATTCCTGAAGTCACATGGTAGCGTACTGGAGAGATTACAATCTATGGACGAACAAGTCAGATATATGTTAACATGTCATGAAATTTGGCGCAAAATTCATTCATACATTTGCCTAAGTAGAGTTTTGGCAGTATAGCTGATATTAGTGCGTAATGTAAAACTTTAATCTAGTTTTTAACCATAACCATTAACTGTAAATGAAGGTTCTAACTGGTTTATAACCATCATTTAGTTCCATTCAGTAGGTGTTCACTCTCAGGGCCACTTGAAAGGATTGTAGATTGAGTCAAGCGTTTATTCCTATTCTTTATGACATATGAAAACACTATTTCGAACCTGAATTCACTTACAGCGAAAATTTTCTTACATTTCACATTAGTGGCAGTTAAAGTGTGAATCGTTGAAGTTTTTGTTCTCTATTCAATTAGTCAACTACTGATCGACACTTGTGATGCATTTTTATAAACATTCATCATATAATCGCAATTCGAGAAATACATGTTAGGGAACTTCGAGTTTACTATAGTGCATAGGATATCCGGTTCTAAAATTTTTGTTTAGAATTGCAAACGATATTATCTGTTACCCATGAAAATAAGAAACGCTATACATCCTGAAAAGTTCACAAAATGTAAGGTTTGCATTCCGGAAAATTTTCTGAGTTAAAAAAACGAATATATTTGTGTAAGACCACAAACACATCGGGATTTTTACGGTTTTGTTCTTAATCTTATTCTTGTTTTTTCTCACATGATAATTAATTCAATAATGTGGGGTATCAGTGGACTACTTTGTGTAGCAGTGTTAGGTTTATTTTACCATTTTAGAATGAGCGTATTTATTCATATATACTTGGTAAGTGTTAAATCTTGGTCTCGTGTATAAGTTACTCTGCAATTAAAAATTGTTTATGACCTAAGTAGTCTGACTACATACTAGTTTATAGAGATCCTGATAATCATTTATTGAAGTCATCATCTAAGACATAAAGTTTGATTGAAATATATTCCAAAATCAACGACTATTGGAAAATTGTAAAGCGTGTTCTTTAGGGACTGGATACGTTGGTCCAAATTTTTGAATACACGTCGATCTTTTGCTAATAATAGATTTTTGTCGTTACATATTATTGGGTCTCAAAAAGTGTATTTTTCGGCTTTAGATGCTAGATAAAATTTATGTTTCATACGTTTAAGAGCAAACAGCACTAATGATGACGCTATAAGCCGTAAGCTATACGAAGACTCGTATGACTACACTTCTTATTCACATATCGCACAAGAAATCATAAAATAATTGGACGTCAAGGGATTTTAATAGGACTGTTCTTTAGATTTGATTTTCTGCTTGTGGTTTTGTTCTGTATTTGTTTTCTTCAACATAATTCTTGCGTTTCCCCGTAGAAATCAGCTTTATTGTTGTAGTAAATTCTTCATACGACTCATGAACGTTTTTGCCTTTACATACTCACAGTAGTATTCCATTCTTGAGACCCCATTTCTGATCACAAGTTATCAAACCAGTTTATTTTAGTCCAACTGTGTATAAATGTTAATCAAGGGTTTAAATTCATTAAGAGAGAATAATTGTACAGCACTTGAGCTTGGTGTTTATGCACTTTTGTTTTCCTAGCAATGGTTTTTAATTTGGCCCTCATCAATCTGAAAAGATCTTCACAGCCATTTCTGATTAAAGTTTGTTCAAAAGACATCAAGTGATAAATATCTGTTTACAGGTGAATTAATATTTTTCAGAATCCTGGTGATTTATTCTTAAATGGAAATCTTCAGACTTGGAGAGGTTGGACCTCCTAAAGATGATGATTTTAATCGCTTTAAGATCTTCGTTAAGGACGAAATAAACTGGAAACGCCGACATAAAAAGAAGAATGTAGAAGTTTTTACACGCTCAACCGCACATACCAATATGAAAATGATCAAAGTTGTAGCCATATTTCCAGACGTATCGTCGCATGTGATATATGACATGTTGCATGACAACGACTATCGATCGTCATGGGACAATACTATGAAAGAGTCGACTGAAATTTGCCGTATTACATGGAACTGTTCTATCGAACATTTCGGATGTAGGTTCCAATATATTTTAACGTTTGTAGTCAGAGCACCATTTGCGTTTGCTAATCGCGACTTTGTTATGTTGCGCGCGTGGCAACCATATGAAAATGAATACATTATATTCAATCGATCAGTATTCCACAAGGTAAGATTGTTTAACTTCAATTTCAACGAGTAGAAAGTGCCTCCACGACCAGATTATGTGCGGGCCCTGACATTCATTACTGGTTATGTTATTACTGCCCTTAGTCCTGTATCATGCCAATTAATGTATTTAACGCAGAACGATCCGAGAGGTAAACGTTTTTGACTTCGACTGAAACTTGTAAATTAAATCAAACTGACCGTATTCTAGTTTGTTTAGCGTTACTCGTATTTAGTAACTTTTTGACTATCTTCATCGTTTTTTCATAACCGATTGGAGGTAAAACTTATGAAAAGTCTTAAGGACAACGAATATTGTTCAAATATTATTTTTAAAAATCCCAAATTTCGTGTCACGAGAAGTAGAATGTCTCCGATGTGAATTTACTTTAAAATATAGTTTAAAAGATGGACTTAATGAAATATTGCGTTTCTTTTCCATGAAGTTAAACAAGCTGGGAACCGCAGTATTCATAGAACACACCGTAATACGCTGTTTTCTCGTCGACTACATGCAAAATAGCTGAGTTTAATCTTGCTCCTTGAATATTCTGATTTTTATGTCGTATCAAAATACTTGTCTTATTCGTAAATAACCCGTCAAAATTGAGAATCGGGAGAAACAACGACAAAAAGTTTCCCAGAGCTTCCAGTGTTATGAAATCTATTTTTCTCTTAAAAACAAAAGATAATCATATTAAAAACTTACTTGCATGTAATTTATCACTCGTTTAGTCACTCAGGCGAGATTTAGGTCTTTTGAGTAGTTTTTTGCTTATAAATTGGAAGAGACTAAGCCACTCTGTAAAATTTAGTCAACAGTTGACAAACTTTGATGAACTTCTGTTTCATTTTATATAGTCAATTTATAGTGTCATTTCGTTGTTTTTTATTTGATTGCGGGGTTCCAGAGCCGTTAGTCGTATACTTTTAATTAAAACTCACGAAATCCTTTGAAAGAATTGAGGAAATATGGCGGCATATATTTCAAAGTCAGTGTGAAATTTTGACATTGTTCAAGTTATTGCTAACTTCACATGGAGTTATTCCTGAGTGTTTGTATATTTTCAATGTCTACACCAAGGACTATGTTCAGCTTAGGACAAAAGTATGCCAATACAGATAGATAAATTGCAGTTATTGATATCACCTTTGAGCAAATTATTAACACTTACAAACAGACGTAGTTAATTGAAAAAAACTAAATAGATTTAACTATGGTTAGATTAGGCTCTATCAAAATCATATCTTATGTCATGGCTAGCTTAGTAGATAATGAGAGATTTCACAGTGTGAATACTAGTGCAAGAAAATCAACTCAGGTTTCCGAACTCTTCAGTCACACAGAATAAGTAGTACAGAAATTTGTTGGAATGAATTATGAAAATGACTGATGTATGGATCAGCAAACACCAGCTTCTAAGATTTACAAATACTTGATATTTATCAAGACTTTACTGATCACGAAAATCAGATCACGATCATTTTATATAATACGGATAAGCATACAGCGGACAGTGAATTGTTGGCCTTAAAGTTCATAATAATAAGTTTTGCTTTCACAGTACCTAGCTTCCATTACAAAAAAGAATATGATGATGCTGTAACGTAATTACACACATTGTTTTCCACATAATTACAACTAACTCTTCACATCGATATAAAAGTACAAGAAGTAAAAAGGGTTACCAGTATTGGTCAGAAAAAAACAAAATTTTTAATCACTATTCAGAAAGATTAAATTGATGGGTTGGATATTTGATAAAGCTTTCAATGTATTGTCTGATAATCGTAATTTATTTTCTGGTATCTACTTTATGTTATAAAAAGTAAGTACAACAATGAGGATAAAATGTAAAAAACATTCTACAAACTGCAACGCAAATAAAATAATTTCTATAAGTAGCCAGATAAGGTTGAATTAAAGGTGTTGTCTTTTCCTTTGTTCTTACAAATGGTAACATATTCCGGCTTTTAAATAAATTTTTAATGTAAAGCAGAATAGTTTGAAAATATACTCCAATTTTTCAAAAACCTGAATTTAAAACCCGAAAATAGAAATATAAGTGTTCATCATAAACATATTCACTGCTTTAAATTTTGGCTTTATTGTTTCGTCCGCTTTAACCTTTAGGTGACATTCCATCATGGGCAATAAACCTGGCAACCACAAAGGTGGCTCCACGTCTTGTAAAGTCACTTCACCGAGCTGCTCTATGCTACCCAGGTTGGAAAGCTCAAAACCGACCAGAATTTAAACCATGGCGAAATCCGGAACAACAAGACAAATCAGTACCTGCACTGTGTTATAGTGATATTTTGAGGGAACCCGACTTTTCTTTAAAGAAGGTTCATGAAAAACATGCGAGCAAAGAAAAAGCCCTGAAGGAAGTTGGTTTACCGCTTGACACAAGGTTGGATGAAGATAGCTCCTAGTTATTTAATTTTTATTATGTTCTACTTGTTTATTTTCAAACCATGTTATATAACCTTTCATATGTATTGGTTAGATCAGGTTTATTGATTAATTAATTGATTATCTTAAATGACTCACTGTCTATTATCCTTGTATTGGTGTTCCGTTATGATATTCCTAAATTTCATGTAGTTCAATATTCTAAGGGGACAACATATATTTAAAGTTTAAATTTTTAAGAAAATGAACAATAGATGAAATAAATGTTTTGACTTTGTTTTACGTACTATTTCTGGGAACTTCTTGTATAACTTGATTTAAGCTACTTTGTATCATTAAACACATGTGAAGATAAGAAGCCACATTAACATCGTAAGCAAAATGAGACGATCTCAGAAATAAACAAGATCAGCGCTGTATGTATGCAATTAATTAGATTTTAAAGTATTTAGTCTCTAATTACAAGTAATATCGTCGATTGTTGCAGGCGTATGAAATCAAAACAAGACTTATTCGAGGTGAAACATGTCCCATTAGAGGGATTCGTCAGCGAGATAAATCTGCACTAAGTGATTATTCCAATTTGTCTGTTTACAGATCATATCTATTAAGAAATCTAACCACATTATTTGATTTTGATTCACTTAAGTTATAAAAACTATGAACGACTAATTTAATTTCCAATCTTCAAGTATATTATGCCATCTAGTTTGTAATATTCATCAGCTGATATCATGTTCCAACGAAAATCTTTCGTCACGTCCATTACATTGACTAATCTGGTAGAGATGACATTAGAATCGAACTGCCACCCTGATGGCTGTAGTGATTAGTAAAAGCTTATTTAGTATCGAATATGAAGTTGACTTAAGAGTAAAATTAAACTTCAAATGGACGCTGATTTTTCCTGAACGTATCAAAGTATGTGGTTATTGATAAATACGATTCAAAGTTAGTCATAAAGAATAATTAGAAGTAATTTTGGTGGCTTTCCTACTTCATTAGCAAGCTAGTAGGGTGAGAATTTTTATTTTAAACAAAATTTAGTCTATATGGCTTTAGTATGTGTTAAGGTTAAGAGTTATTACATTTGAAGTAATGAGGTGTGCACTTTTATTTCATGAACCAGATTGCATATTTTTTAGGGATCATATTTTTTTACTACAAAAATGTAATCCGTCGACCGTTTTGAATACCTTGTATCTAATTTCCTTTGACTGTCACAACTCTAATGTTTAGATTACTCCGTTAGACTGAAACTTCATAATCTTAAAAACATTTATTAACTGATCAATAGTAAATTCAGTGAATGATTATGAACATTTATTCTGGTGACCTTAAATAAACAATTTAAAGTTAGTCTGGATAGTGGTATTTTCTCCAATAATCATAAGTTGAGATGAGCTTTAAATATTGCGATAATTTTTAGACTTTACGATATCGAAAAACCTTTTAAACCTCTTTACGTGGTAGAAAGTGTCAATTTTAAATTGCGGTAATAAACACGTTTACACATTTATTTGGTGTGATTTTGCACAAAAACGAACTTAATAAGGAAAAGTAGAGAGGTAACTGCATCCGTTGTTACAGTAAAATGAGGAAGTAGAAGTATGATTATTTGACAGGAGTATACTATCTATTAATAAAACCTCGGTATTTGATAAAAGTTAACCTATCTTTATCAAAAACTATTACTTTTTTTGGAAAAAATGGTAAAGAACAGTTGAGTTTAGTCTGAGTGCATTATAATTAAACACTTTATCAGAAGCTATTTAACATTTACTCATCGTGAAAAACAAGCTAACAAGACATCGAATTTAGTTAGAAGTTTCCCATGTCGTCTACAAGCAAGGAGTCAGTAGTACTGTTGATTAATTATATTTGTGTATTTTTTTATGTATCCTACGGAACATCCAATTGTTCTCTGTAAAAATACAATAATTGCAAAACATTTGTATGTTAGGCTGAAAAAAATAAGATACAATTATATATATATATATATATATATATATATATATATATATAAATATATATATATATGTATATATGACGCTCAAATATTTGGAAAAACGGAGATTATTAAGGTCATCGGCCAACATCTTACGTCATCTCCTTGGTATATATTGACGATGACAAAAGTTTCATTTGAATGTTCTGTTACGTCTCCGGTAGATTGTCGGTAAAATCGCATTCTGTATAACTAATTTATTTTTTGTAATCTGCTAAATGAAAAAAAGAATATATGATATACTGTTGGAGCCATAAAGTATTGCTAATAATTTCTGAAATAATAAATTAAATATCTTTAGGTTAAACCTAACTTAGGAATTAAAATATCCCTAATTCAAGGTAATAATTTTAGCAATTACTTCTTCACTAAAATCAGATGTACTTGCAAGTGATATATATATATATATTTATATATATACGAGAAAGATAAGATTAAGCTTAATAAATAATAATTATTGGTAATTTTTATGAATAATCAGTTTAGGCTTTTTATGGTTTATTTTTTGAACACTCTATTGTGAGACTCCTCAGCAGTGCGCATCCACGATCCCGGTCGCCGGATTCGAAACCAGGGCCGCGAACGCTTAACCTAATGCAAACAAAACTTGGCTCAGTGGTCTCACAATAGGACGAAACGGCCTTCAAATGCTTCCAGGTTTTTATGGTGGTCTAACATCAATCGGTTCATGATCACAATCAAAAACTTAACGAATATTATCATAAATACATACACATATATTCCTATTATCAAATAATAGCATCAAATAAAACAAAGAATACATTTACTGTTGCACAAGAGGAAACTTTCAATTTTCAAAATATAGAGCAGTGTATTGTAATTTATTCAAACAAGTAGAGCAAATAAAAGTACAATTTTAAGTCAACTAGAAATGTACATGACAAACGTCATTCATTAATTACCATATGGACAAACTAGAAAATTTACGAAGATAAACTATAGTTCTCAAACATTAGACCATACAGATGGCCATTATATTTTATTATAATCTTTATTACAGAGTATTTTGGTAACATATAAGAACCATTCACTGAATATTTCATTTTCAAATTTCCATCATTTGTCTTTCACATTCTGAATGACTCTTCAAGTTCACTATTCCTTTCTATTTTCCCTCCTATTCTCTTCAACTCGATCTTCTTATCCTTCTGCTGCCAGTTTTTCCACTTCCGATTGTTGTTACACACCACTTATCTCGACAGACATAAGTAGCATACACCACAAATCCAGTATGATTTTCGAACTATCATGCTAAAAATACATTTGTAAATTAAACTACCATATTTGTAAATCACCGATATATTCTTGTTAAAACTTCATTAATGCTTATACATCAGTCTGTAACATGTGTTCTGCGTTTAAACAAGTTATCCTGACTTAGGATAACATTCGTTCATCAATAAACGCCAAATTTATTGGCGTGCATTATTTGAATCACGTATAGTCCATGAAGTTAAAAAGCAACTACGTATACATTTCTTTTCATGATATTGTAAACGTGCCACCATGTTCACAAAAGAGGATAAAAAACATTAAATCAGTAATTTCTTGCACAGTGGTTGGTTAAAGGTTTGTATGGTTGGTAGTTAATCTGTTTTACTTTGATAGCTTCATTATTTCAATGTTTTAGTTTTCTATTTGGTAAAATAAAAAGATTTTACGCTAATATTCTATTAGTAATTCTTTACAATATTCATAAAGTTTTCTCACTTATATTCTATGCCCATCATACTATTGTTAGTAATTGAATAACTATGAATAGAGTTGTTTATCAATTGTAAAAAGAATAACAGAAAGAATATCACAATTATTCCCATTATATGAAATATTATCATTATAATATTAGTTTGAGTCGTTTACGATAAATACTTTTTTATATGATCATATGATATGTGTATATAATATTTCGCTTGTTAAATAGAAAAGTGCATTAGAAAAAAAAATACAAACTCAAGAATAACCACGTGAATTTTGAAATAAGTTTCTTCTTTTGAAAAAACGTATTTTCAATGAGAACTTAAATTTGAAAGAACAGATTTATGGATAGATAGATAGATAGATATGCACAAACTCTTAGCCATAAACTCTTATAACTTAATAAAATTAAAAAAGAAAATGTCATATGCAGAAAATTGAAGATTTTTTAAAATTTAATTTATTTACATTAAAAATTTATATTTTTTTAATTGGTAACATAGAATAAATTTGATGGGTTTTTGCCTAAAATTGTTAAAACAACACTACTGATCAACCAGTAATTAATGGCTTAATTCTAATAATTTTTATTAGATATATTTTTATTTAATAATCCAACTTCAGCTTTTAAATATACAACATTAATTAATATCAGATTAAGGGGTTTGTGAAGATTTTAGTAATTTAATAAGTGAATTTATGAGTCAATTGAAGCTAGACCACCATCGAAAACCTGGATGTTGATGAAATCAAACAAGATAAATACCTCTTCCATAAGTAACTGTAAAGTAACTAAATGATAATTTTCATCAACAAAATAAGTAGAGCTCAATAAAATAACTTGTAATTGAAACAAAGAAATTTCATCTTCAAAAATATTACAAGGATATTTATCAGCTTAAAATTTATTAATCAATATTTGATACAAAATCCTGAATATACGAATGTAATACTTCTACATTTAATTGAAAAATGTTTCTTTGTAAATAGTTTTCAATCTGTTGATGAAATATACGGTGATCTATATAGTTTTACTCATAGAATAAAGTTAAAGTAAAATATATCCACGATGTTTGAAAAATATTACACTGAAACAAAACATCACTTAGTAAATTATTAGTACACCTTAGTAACTTTATACAACTATACCTAATTATCTTTAGATTTTGTGGATTTAATGCAAATTCACAGTGGTTAACTAACACTTTTCACTAATACATAATCGCCAACTTTCAAAGGTGTAATATGCCAAGTCGTTACCGAATTTACTGTTATGTAAAGTTGATAATGAATAAAATGTTGTAAGATATTAATTAATTTTAAAAGCACTTTCAAGTTCTTGAACTTATGTATTTTGTTGACAAAAGCTGATAAGACAACAAGGATTTAAATATACTTCAAAGTAAGTTGTAAACAAATATCAATATGAAATTACTTACTTAAAAAAATTAGGTTCTTGGTTAAGTATTGTCTGGACAAGTTGTAACTTCATTATCTGAATAGATTTCTAATGATTTATCATATTTTTTAAATTTCCAATTTATAATTCCATTGTTGT